TAGGAAATGACTAGTCCGATCTTTACCACACGTATTACTTCCATAATCCATTTTCAGTGCCTCTATCTAGCTAGAGATGCATCTACATAGGAGTCTTAGGTATTTTTATGCAAGAGCAGGGTGATGGATGAAGAAATATATTTAAAAAATTATTGGACCACCTTTCCGGGCTAATGACGATTATAGATAGCACACAAAATGGCTGCCCAGTGTCACCTGTTATATTCGGTAGGCAGAAACTTATTGTTAGTGCACACTAGTGTACTGCTTATCCAAATTAGTTACAATCTTGACCCAAGGCATGACATAAAGTATTCGTATATTATATTTCAAAGATGATAGGTGTCCTTCTTGTTAAGTATAATTATTATAGATTCTATAAGATAATTATTAATTATTATAGATCATAAAGAAGCGAGATACTGTTCTTATACGGTTCTCTCATCGCGAAAGGGTTGATTTGCTCATATTTGTGTCTGTATATCACCAGGAAGTGAAATTGTAATTACTTTTCAGGTATTACGCAGTGGAATAGCTTGACCCAATCCCATGAATGTGTACCTACCTAGATTTTGTGATTAAATAACCGATAACCGTTCGCTTTCGAGTCCAGGTTTCCTCCCATCTGTTAGTGATACTAGTATAGTAATTGGTTTCATACGTTATAGATCATTCCACATTTAATTCGTTCTTTAGATACTCCATCTACCCAGTTACGCGAATTTATAGTCGTTTATGTGGATTCTCGTGATCATTTATCTGACAATATCGTCATTTCATTCACCGATTTAGGCGAGAGGAAATAGCCCAAGTTCTCGGAAGAAACTGGGAGAAATTGGAACAGGGATGCACCGTCACCGGGAAACAGAGCTGATCCGTGATCCGTTTCCGGCAAGGTCGACCCGACGATTTCCGTTACAGAGCCGCGTCTACGGTAAACGATTCGCGCGGCGCACAGAATGGCCGTGGTAAACAGAAAATAACAGAAGCGTCGAAACCTCGGACGAAGTAGCGCTAACTCACCAACTTTAGGAGTTTGTTATTTCGGTTTTGCCGTTAACTCCCGCGAGCCAGCGACAAGAGACATTCGCCAGACCACCACGAAACGGGCCTCCGCCTACACCTCCCAGTTCCCGACTTTCCGGTGTGTCGTGACCAATCGGGTCCACCCCCGCTATCTTCCTGCCCGAAAATAACCGAGACATGCGATATTACCGCACTGCGTGACGTAAGATCCTCGTGGCCCCGACGCATTTCTAATATCCAGCCACGAAGGATCTGCATCGATGCAGCTCTTGGAGAGTAGTCGATGATACATTCTGAAAGATCGGGGTATTTTAACGCTACGCCGTCCGCACGTCTAATCGGGATTCTTTCATTTGGCGTCCGTAGGATTGGCTCACTATTTGCCCATGTTACCAACGTGGTATTATCGGCATTTGCCCGATGGTTTTCTCATGGACACCAATGTGCTGCCACCGGACGGCACTCCGGGCTAACACTTTCCGCGCCAAGCCATTTTTGCCCGACATGATCTTCAGGCCATTTGTTGTTTTGGCTAAAAATTGACATACTATCGCACAATATGTCATTACATCATTAATCCGTATGTAATTAGCCTGTTTAGAGTCGTTATCACATCGTGTACCTTTTATGGTGCACTATGGTTACTGTCAAAGTCAGTCAGTTCGAAGATTTTCCACTAATAACAAGCACTAGAAGAGTCCATGACGTTTTGCAGCAATAGCAACTATTACATATAATTAATAATTATTGTATATATTTATGTGCTTTGTTCTATACCGCATTTTGTATAATACCTCATTCTTTTAGTACAAATATATTTTTTTCAGAATTAAATTTATCATGAAACATGTCTTCAGCACATTAAATAAATATGTCTGCATGTACCATTTATGGTTACACGTGGTCTGCAGATCAAGTTTAACGTGTACCACAAATGGTACACGTGGCAAGGAACGTGTTAATTGAGTCCCCGTGTTGGTCTCGTGTGGGACATATTGTTATGATAGGATTAACACTAGAACTACCGATCTTCAATGGGTACCTAACTACAACGTGCACAGATTATAGTAATTTCAGCGATACGATGAATATGAGTATATGGATTACAGTTCCTTCTTAATACGAGTTGATACCAATTTTATTCTTAAAGCAGGTGTATGTGTTCGGTGATTGCAGAAAGGAAAATTGTGGGACCAGTCATTTTCACTAGATTGGTAGTTCTAGTGTTAATATACACAGGGACTGCTTTAATTCTTTAGGGACGGAACGGTTTGGAGTGAACCGTACCATGGGACGCAATAGTCATTCAAAACTACCATTTCTGCTTAAACGCGATTTTCGTTCATAACGACGCTGACAATAAGGACATAAAATAGTCCACCACTTAACTGGAGACGCGAGGGTCCTAGGCCCGCAACAGCGGGCGCATATTTCTGTTTTTCGGCCATAGCAACGCGTTTACACGAGACACATTTATGCCCTATCGGTTGTTTTCGTTGCACGCATATACGAGTTGCTCGGCTGCACTGATGGCTTCCACAAAATGCACATATATGGCGCATATATGTCTCAATGAATACGCGAAGCACTGTTCCTTTTCCTAACCTTCGAATCTACAAGAGTAATTGTAATACACTTAACTATTTTTCTCTTTTCCTTCTTCTGGTATCGCTCTCTCCAATATCTCGTGACGCGAGATTTACATCGGAACGTGTATCCTGCAAGAAATAACACGGAGACCCCCGAGGGCCCTAATCAGGTAACAATTTATGCTCGCGGAGTGAATTTCCGTTGTGAAAAATCCGTCGGTTGGTTCTTTTGCTAGGTGAAAAGTAGAAAATGCGAGTGGGATGGAGCGATGCTTAACAAAAGCCGGCCACTTGGCGCGACGTTGTATCTCGCGGCGATCGCGCGACGCGGCCATTTTGTCGAGGCGCGTCAATGGGAATAATCGCGTGGAATTCGTGTCGTCCGCGGCAGGGCGATCAAAAGGTCTTTACGTACTACGGTGAACGGAACACCGTGGCTCCTTTTCATCCTCGCCCCCCCGCCTCGTCCCGGGCTCCTTTTATAAGAACACTTACAATGGACCACACGCATACGGTGACCTCGAAGCGAGTGCGCTTCTTACAGGGTCAGGGGCACGTGTCATCCATCTTGGAGAGGTTCATATTCACCCGGTGACACTAATGCCTGCTCTTCGTGGGGCACGCAGCTTTATCTGGAGGCCCGAACACGCGCGACGCGTTCTTTTTCCACGAGCAAAGCTTCTTCCCCCGTCCGATGACAGGCAAACGGGCCCGGGCCCACGGAAAAGCTGGGGCCTTCGAGGGTTTGTCAATTGTTCGGAAGGGCTCGATATGGGGGATTTTTATACGCAGTCGATGCTTATCTCCGCGATAAATTGTCCCCTGAGACCGGCGAGGATGCTTGTCTGAATTATGTCCTTTTTTCCATAGCGTGCTTCGTCTTCTTTAGTTTTAGGGGTGTAATTATGGGGCTCGAAGTGGCTGGTCGATAGATTGTGCTCCTCGGAAATAAATCAGTACTTTTTTCGTCTCGAGGATGTTGATTGTATTGAGGATTTATGAGCAGCTTCACGGATTTGTTCGGTGCTTCGGGTCTAGATGGCGATACTGTTTGTAGCTTGTCCTTTATCAAGATATGCTTTGTCAAGATCTCTGATTTATGGGCTAACTACACACGTGAATCCCACAATATTTTGACGCGATTTTTGTCTCGACAAACCAGATTGAACATTTTTTAAGCAAATCGTGTTTTTCCGTTTAACGTGTTTTATTTACAATAGTTGCAATGTGGTGGATAACCATAGGGTGTCCCTAAGTTCACGCAAGATTTAAATTTTGCGCCATTCGCGTGGTCAAGTGTCGGCTACGCAGATAAAACACAGTGTGACAGCTGACAGTTCAGGGTTATTAAAAATGGAAAAAGATTGTTGAATAATATTTAAAGTTTTTAATTAAAAACCTGCATTCTCTATCACAATTACTTCTTGCGGAAATTTTTGGACACCTATTATCATATTTAACCCAGATTTTCTTATATAATCATTATCATAATGATCATTGACAGATATTCTGTCACACTAACGACTAATTTATTTATTATCTTTAATTCACGAATGAAAATATTATTACAGAATTATAAATATTACAATATTTAAAATTTTTAATTAAAAACCTGTATTTTCAATCACAATTACTTCTTGCATAAATTTTGAAACACCTATTTGTATTTAACCCAGATATTCTTATATAATCATTGTCATTATAATGATCATTGACGGATATTTTGTTACACTAATGACCAATTTATTTATTACCTTTAATTCACGATTGAGAATATTATTATACAATTATTCTTCTTGAGTAAATTTTTGGACACCTATTAGTATCATATTTAACCCAGATTTTCTTATATAATCATTACTATAATGATCATTGACAGATATTCTGTCACATTAACGACAAATTTATTTATTACCTTTAATTCACGAATGAAAATATTATTACAGAATTATAAATATTATAATATTTAAAATTTTTAATTAAAAACCTGTATTTTCAATCACAATTACTTCTTGCATCAATTTTTTTATATAATCATTACTATACTGATCATTGACAAATAATCTGTCACATTAACGACAAATTTATTTATTACCTTTAATTCACGAATGAGAAGTATAGAATTATACTTCTTGCGTAAATTTTTGGACACCTATTAGCATAAAGTACATAATATTTCATATATAATCATTGTCACTATAATGATCATTGACAGGTATTCTGTTACACTAACAACCCAATTTATTTATTATCTGTGATTCACGAATGATAATATTATTATAGAATTATTGCATTGAAAATGTATATATTAATATTATTCGTATCGTGTATTTGTTAATTAATGGCAGACTTTTGAATGGAATATTCGTGATATCAATGTTGCAGTGGCCAACGTGGTTCTACCGGCCAGATTTTCCTCTGGGCATTCCACTGCCTACCAGCCACGTTCCGAACGCCAGCAGTGTTCCTACTTCGTCGCCTTTGTGTTCGAGGACTCATTCCCAGTCAGAGGTACCCAAGGCTCCTGACTTTCTCGATAGCAGCAAAATTCATGGACAAACTCCGACGATATGCACGGTAAGATGTATCACAGAACTTTCAGGATATTACTCAATATTTCCAGGCTTCGAGCACTTTAGAAATTTAAGGTCATATTTAGATTTGAAGATACCATTGACTCAATCCCCTGCTTGTCATATTCTCGCGCAGCTTGTCGGCGTAATGACTGACATTAAGATGATCGAAATAGTGTAGGAAAAGGAATTTCAATTTTAATAGCTGGCATATACTTACGCGAATCAGATAGCATTCTCCGATAGTCCTATCAGCATATCGTATATCGTATGTCTATTTTACGACTTTACTTCTCACTTACTTTCCCTCATTTACGTCCACCACTCTTCTCCCAACAGGTGTTTGCTTAAAATAATCCAACTTTTAGTTCCACTTCGATAACAACAAAATTGGCCAATTTTTCCTCCATCCGCTGTCAAGATGTCTTGGCTAAGTTACGCAAAGGATAAAGGCGAGTACAAGTGTTCCTCTGATTCCTAATCAGAAACAGATCAACATCCAGCACAGACTGGGAACAAACCACGTCGATGCATGAAAGGCACCGCGATAGAACAAGGCTATACGAGGCTACTACCGATATCATCAGAGATCGGTAATCGTCACGATCTATTAGGTTGGCAACTAAGTGATTGCGGATTTTAAACACGAAGGAAAATACAAAATTTTTTAGCGAATCTCAGATTTTGGCGTCGTCTGGACTGGTTCATCTTGCATCACCCACGATCCTTTCCGATTAACGTTGTTATAAACTATCCACTTTTCGTCGCCAGTCATCTGTCGTTTCAGAAATCGATCAATTTCGTTGCGTTTCAGAAGCGAATTGCAGATGCTAATGCGTTCCGTCAATTGAATTTCCTTAAGCTGATCGAGTTTCTTCGCATAGCCGAGCCGTTTTCATTTTTGTTTAATGCGTGTATGCGATACATCGAGCTTCTCTGCAATCTCACGTGTTGCGCTATGACGATCTGAATCGATAATGGCCTTGATACGGGTCTCATCGGCTTCAACTGGACGGCCAGATTGTTGCGCATTTTTCAGTGAAAAATCACCAGAATGAAATTTGACAAACCAATTTTGACACTGTCTTTCTTTCAAGGCTTCATTCCCATTTACGGCACGTAACTTCTTGCGTGCTTGCGATGCGTTCCTGCCTTATCGGAAATAAAACAATAAAATATGTCCGAAATGTGCGTCTCGTTCTTCCATTTTTAAATTCGGATAAAAACGAAACTAAATAACTAATCGATACAATTTTTCAACTAAATTAAAGGCGGAAGTCCAAACAACAAGAAAACAATATAAGTTAGGTGCCTTGAACACGTTGACAAAACAAAAGAATGTGCAAAAGCCATCTATTGACAAAATCCGCAATCACTTAGTTGCCAACCCAATAAACGTGTATACCACGTCGTTGGCGATTCTGCGACAAAAGTATTACGACGTGCGTGACACGTGTTGCCAGCGCGAGCGGTTAAATATTGTCGGAGCGCGGGAATATTTAAAGTAAAATATGCGCAGACGCGGGAGCGTGGATGTCGCGCAGGTTGGGGCACGGCCGAAGGGGAAATTAAGTTGTCGAAGAGGGACCGCGAGTGGATAGATTGAAACGTTGCATTCAGCGCGATCCCGTGATCGATAATAGGCTGCCCATGGCGGCCGGGAAGAAGATGCGAGCGAGTCTCGTTACGATGTCGTTATTAAAATTCCCGTCGGGACGCTGTCACCTGCGCTGGAATTATCGGCTGATTGATTGCCCGGTATTTTTGCGAAACGCGCCTGCCGAGCCTATCGCCATTTTTATGGCGCTACGTACCGCGAGAGGAGCGTGACGCCTGGCTTTCAGGAAGGCGAGATGGCTTTCTAGGAAATACCTGCTCCACGGAATTTCGCCGTTTAAACGCGGCTGTAGGTGTTCCGCGAATATGTAGAAACTACATTTTAATTGCAGCGTTTTTCAAACGTGAGAAAAGTGCTACCTTATTCACCCCGACGCTGCTAATCCTGGGAATCAACGGCTAATGTGCGGCTTAATATGCTGTTTAGAAGTGGTAATCATCGAGAGAACATTATGCAGATATACAAACACAATTACATTTCTGTTTCAATAGAAATCACTGAGAAGAATTTAGCATTACCGAACAGATTGCTCTCTAATGGAACATGGTACCACAGTTACTCTGTTCTGATGTTAATACCGAAGGTTAGATGCAATAATTGACACAAAGCCAGAGACTACGTACAACCCGTTAACCTACAACCGGGCACAATAGATTGGACCCACGTGTCACTGACCCACCGAAGCGATGAACAGACCTCTACTCATAAATAGCGATATTGACAACCAAAATAATGCCAAAAAGAAATTTCCTTGACAGTTTTCAATTCCTTGGCCAGAGGTCCTTCCGAAACACCCACGTCTAATCAAAACCTCTATTCTTGGTACCACCGATACTATTCTGATGGCAATAATTGACACAAAGGCAGAGACTATGTGCAACCGGGCCCTACAGATTGGGCCCACGTGTGACTGACCCACCGAAGCGATAAACAGACCTCTACTCATAAATCGCGATATTGACAACCAAAATAATGCCAAAAAGAAATTTCCTTGACAGTTTTCAATTCCTCAGCCAGAGGTCTTTCTGAAACACCCACGTCTAATCAAAACCTTTATTCTTGGTACCATAGATACTGTTGTGATGGCAATAATTTCCGAAACACCCACGTCTAATCAAAACCTTTATTCTTGGTACCATAGATACTGTTGTGATGGCAATAATTGACACAAAGGCAGAGACTATGTGCAACCTAGCCCTACAGATTGGGCCCACGTGTGACTGACCCACCGAAGCGATGAACAGAGCTCTACTCATGAATCGTGATATTGGCAACCAAAATAATGCCAAAAGGAAATTTCCTTGACAGTTTTCAATTCCCCAGCCAGAGGTCCTTCCGAAATACCCACGTATAATCAAAATTTCCATCTTTTCTTCGCTATTGTCCACTCTTACGTACTAGCCTCTATCCCAGTGAGCAGTGAGAAGATAATCGCGATTGAATTCTAATCGGCGACAGGAATACCCCTTTCTCCCTTCGTCGATTTAGCAATTTTAAAATTGCACCACCCACGCAAGGTTTCCCGAGTCGGCCTAGCGTCTGGTCCCGTGCTACGTGGCTGGATTCGCGACGGGGATCGCGTCGCCCCGGGTCGCTTTGGCCACGAAACTCATTTACGAATGGCGGGAGCCAGGGGTTCGATTTAATGGGCGACGACATGACAGAGAAGGCTGGCAGTGGATCGATATTCAATTTACAGTTTTGTCACAGCGCCGCGCGCCTAGTGCGCGCTCGGGTTCGCGGAAGCGACGGTGGTGCCCCCTAGCCGGGCGTTAGGGGGCGTTCGAGTCATTCGTCAAGATCGAAACGGCTGAACGCTTCCCCTGAAACGATGAAACCGCGTGGGCGTGCGCGGCTCGTTAGGGCGCTGTCGTGGCCCCTCGTTAGCGGCGATGCGCCTGCAACAAATGATTTAAATATAATACTTAATAATGCCACACCGTGGCAACGGGGTGTATTCAATGCGCCAGCACTTTTGTTTCTCCATTATTATTATCCCGCCGCGTAAATCGTGTCCCGCGATATTAATGGCGCGTACGGGGCCAGCAGTCGCGGCAGCGATCAATCTCGTTGTCACAATTAAATGCGCCGCACCGGTGAGCCGAAGAATAATTTATATCCGGCTACCCACGTGAAGAACCAAAGCCGGGGAACTCGAACGAGATCATGCCTGTCTTTCCATAGTGGAAGTATGGCTGCGCTGGTTTTCCGCAAAATCCACTTGCCAGTTGTGGGTGGTGGGTTCAGCATCGTGAAACTATCATCGGGTATAAGTAATAACCTATCGCAATAAGTAAAATATCGTGCAACTGGGTGTGTCGTTATATTATCTTTCGCACTGTCTTCATTTCATTAGAGTACATCCGTATCAAAGTAATATCGATACTCTTTGCGTGAGTATTAGTTTCACATATGTGAATGAAAATGAGGTTGAATAAGTGAAACCCATTTGCGATGATACAAGTACAGGTTACCCTCCTATAACACGGTAGGTAGATAGGTTCCTAGAGAATGCCTTGTCGTGTGAAACCGTGTTGTATGAGACCAAAAACAAATTTTTTTTTAATTCTACGTAAATAACTTAATTTTTATTAAAAATATATATGTATGTACAACACGAAACAAAACAAAAACAAAAATATTATTTTAATTTAACGCAACTTTAATTTAATAAATTTCTACGTCGTCATTGCTCATGTAGAAGTACAGTGTCGTACAAAGGATCCCGCAATTTATGAATCGTGTTATAGGATGCCGTGTTGTAGGAGGCTAAATGTATATAACATGTGCAAGTGCAGTCTAGTATGAAGTTTGGAAAAATGTTTAGAAGAATGTGCCAGAATAAAACAGTTATGTGAGAATCGTCAAAGAGCAATATGGGTATATAACAGCTAATAAGAGTGAGAGAGAGAGAGAGAGAAGAATTTTCTGGAAAGTGTCAATCAATTTTTATGTTTAAAATAGTTTATTGCGAGTTGTTTTCGTTATCTAAATATTTTTATCTAAATATACCGATGCGTTAACTGTTAAGAAACGTAAAAGATATTGGTGTCCATTTCTATGCACACTATTGGGATTTAATGTCAACAATTTTTCAATTGTGCTCTTGTAGTGTGTTTAACAGATTAGGAATGAGGTTAGTACTCTAAGAGATCGGTATCTGTATTTTATACCTAAGTACAGTAGTTCAGTCGACGAGGATTTGTCAGTGAGTCCCATTTTTATGACAGTCTTACTCTATGAGCTAACCAACTTAGCTCTACGTAGACAGTAACAAAAATTCGCGAGTAAATATGAAGAGGAGTTGGACAGTATAGAGAACAAGAATTAGAAGACAAAATTTTCTGAATTTATGTTGATTCTATCGATTTTTATCAGATTTTTCCAAATTCCTTTGTCCCTCGCATGGCTGATGCGTGGACTCGAATCTTCCTCTGCGTTTGCACCGATATCCCTAGTTTTCCCCTAGACATAGTTAATGAGAGTCGTTAACGTTCTCCAAACCTGGTCTGAGCCCTGTCATTTCAATAAATTCACTGTTAAACGAGAGGTGGACAGGACTATTCATTGTTATATCGGTGCACTCTTTGAATCGATTAATACCAGCCGAATGATATTACCTGTGTGTATACCTTACAAATCACAGGTCGAATAAATTCGCTGGCCCAAGAGAAAGAAGCTTGGCAATAAAGCGAGTGAAGTGGTACAGGCAAAGCGTAGAAATAATAAATTATCCAATTGTTCTACTAAATGTAAAAGCTGTGTACGCAGCGGAGATTTATAACCCGTAACTTGTCAATGTACCAATATTATCCTTAGTAAATGGAATTAAACGATACCGATATAGCTGAGCAGTGCTGGTTGCGTGGATGGTGTGACTGAAAAGTTATAAAATTAAGCTTCCTCGTAAAGCGAAAGCATCTTAGCATAACAAACCATGAACCAACCTCGAAGCCACGGATAGGGATATCGGGATTACATGGACACCGGCCATCACAGTTCAATTCCCACTAATGGTATTAACTTTTCTGGCTTAATCTAAATCGCTGGCCCCCATTAATCCGATGAAAAACGCGCGCACTCTCGCTGGCAGGAAGAAAGCGCGTGCATCTCGTATCCGCTCCTCGAGTTTGATTAATGTTAAACCTCAAGACTGATCCGGCAAATAATTGCCTTCCAGATTAATTGTTTTTTGATGGACCACGGTTGTCCGTTGTTTTATTTATGCTCGTTCCCCGCGACCGTAATTGAAAGTCAAAATGGAGGCCTCCGTAGCCGCCGCCGCCGCCGCAGCGCCGCCTGGACGGTGGCCATTGCAAATATTCGAGGCTTAGAATCGCGTGCGGAGGTAATCGATAGCGCGGCCAATTTATTTCGCTGAAAAACCCGGCCTCGATCGCTTATAAGTCGAAACGCTTCGTGTGATCGATCCTTAACCTTTCCTAACGCAACTACTATGTGTAAACCGGGCACGCATGATCTCTCGCTCACGCCGCCATTTCTGCCTTTTATAATAGCCGTCGTTTCTACCTCCACTCTAATTTCCCATTGATTTATGAGAATTCGTTGCCTGTTCTGTAACGTGCGCGATGCAGGGTAATTCTGACGTATTAGCCGAACTTGTCTTCGAGATATACATGTACGTTTAGTCGGTCCTGTTTCTATCGTATTTGTCGAGTAGTTGTTACAGATGGCGCTAGTAGTCGAGTTGGACTGCGAAGATGGGATGGGTTTGATGAAAATTGGAGGTGTGGGACGTTGCGAGCTGTTGTAGGGTAGATTTGCTCCAGTTCTCATGGGCTTCTGACGTAGTTGGTGTGCTAGGTTGCGTGGGATTGAAGGTCCTATCTGTGTAAACCGAATTATCATCATGGAATATGCAGATTAGTTGGTGTGTCGTATCCATCAGTTCCTGGGGTATCAGTGGACTCTACTGGGTAAATAGACACTGTTGACACTGTCTTGTCGTCTACAGTACTTTTAGAAAATGTAAGGAAGATCCTCAAAGATAGCCTAAGCTCATCAACTACTTTATGCTTGGATCAAAGGGATTCAAACTTCTATAGTCAATTAATTAGCTCTATCTTCAGATATCTTCTAGAACGCAATATCTGATACTTCAGATATCTTTTAGGATGCAATAGTTGATGCTTCATTATTCTGATAATTTCACAATTAATTTATGAACACTATTGTCTGAATTATTTCCAGAAGACGTTAGAAAGAGTCTTAAAGCTTGACACAGTCTCCCTGAACCAATTTATGTCTGAATTAAGAAGATTCAAACTCCCATATTCAACTATACCTATCTGCACATTGCTCTGAGCATATTTAACCTATTCTCAACCTGGTCCTGACTATTAACAGTCAATCACTACCCAAATGACTTTCAGGAAGAGGAAGATTTGACTACCCATACCTGAACCAAGAAAATTCAATTCCATGTTCAACTATCCAAACAATTTGTTATAAACAGAAGCACGTGTGAATTCGCGATTGATCATGGGAAATAAGATGATTGGTAATGAATCCTGTTGACTCTCTGGATCATGTTCCTGTTGTTCAGCTTGCACACCAGTCGTGGGTTTCGAAATCGTTAGGCTAGGAAGACAGGAACCTTCGGCTAAAACGATGACCCTGCGAACTTTGCTTAGTTAGGATAATTAAAGATGTTCGGTTTTCCACTGGCAGGCACATTGTCGGATCGGAAGTGGCTGTGCGCGATGCGACGTAGGGTGCACTTACTGCCGGGCTCATTATTCGCCGAGGTTCGTGCGTTTATGAGCGAACCACCGACGGGTTACCCACGGTTTCCTGCTTTTATTTTTCCAGATAATCCATTTACTCGCGTCTATGCATCTGGTGTTTATCTCAGGCAGAGTCGTTTATTAGAGGGCACGTAAGACGATTTACGTCGGTGCGCGTTCCATAGGCCCGGCTTCGATTCTGCTCGCGTGAAACGCGTGCATTAACGGGTTTATGGACAAATCGGCCGTTCCTCCGAACCCTTCGTCCAGGCCTTTCCACTCGTCTTCATTTTAACTCGTCTTCGATTTACCGCTCGCGTCTCTTCTTAAATTTCATCTTCACCAAGCTTGTCTTCTCTGTTTCCTCTTCGCGTCGGATCAACGGCGTTCTGCCTTCTTGCGATTCACCCTTAATGGCGCGGTCGTGCCGCCATTGTGCCTCGGACTGGCCCGGAGTTGTCAGGAAATATGGAACGAGAATTGAAAGCGAGTAGTGTGATAATATTTATTGGTAACGATAATATAAAAATGTGACAATAGAGTTACGAATTATTTCTCTACTTGTTGCAACGTTGTTGCAATATTTTTAACATTATTGGAGAACATGCTGTGCCTTCTTTTCTCAAACGCACAGTACTTTAGTACTATAAAATGCTATATTACTATAAAAGAATATAGCATTATAATATACAACAACAAATTAAATAATTCACATTTATTATCGTAATGATTTATATTGTACATCCCCCGTATTACAATAATTTTTATAAATATACTGGTATTACCAATAATATCACAGGCAATATCAAATAGTTCAGTAATACATTGGACAACTCTAAAATATGATATCTCTTATCCCAGTAAAACATAACCCATACGCTGTATTTCACAACAAAGTCTAGGATATAAGGTATGAATAAATTGTTTATAAGATCTAAATTCCGAGAACGAATTTTTATATAAACATTCGATAAGAATTGGGGAGACACTAATCTGTATCTATTTCTTGACATATTTCAAAACTGTCAAAAACCTAGTCCTAGTTACCAATTAGCAATAACTACATTTATAATAAATTCTTTTCTCTTCTCGATGCAACATAAGCGAGTTCGAAGAGTTAATATTTAATCCTTTGCAGTATGAGGTCACCTCTGACGTGACGATACTATTTTTTGAACAATTAATTGAGAAAAATTAAGTCAGAGCTGGTGGAGGATAAACTAGGAAACAATTAGAATACAAAGGGTTAAAATGCTCTATAAAAATATATATCTAAGTGAATGAAAGATGTATTCTCGTGAATATAGAAAATTGCGAAAGAAAATATGAAGATAGATGTCTAAGTACCGAGTTGTCAGCACAAGTCATCATAGTAGAAGCTGCTAAACGTGCTAGATCAACTACTGGTGTGTCATCTGACTCCAGATGAAGTTAACCATGATACTTGGGAAACGGTAGAATGTTTCTTGCAGGAAAACAGAGCCTATAAAGGAGAAACTGAAGTTTGATAACAGGCCAATATGAGGCTAATACCTTGTCGATTATTCGAGAAGATAATTTCAGACCATGCTGCATTCCTACTATCAACGCTACAGGATCATTTATAACAGCGATATACAGTGTAAAATGAAACGCAATATTAATGGTTATTTTATGATAAGCTATACAGGAAGTCGTGAAACGTAAGAAGAATTGTATCCATTCGAGAAAAATCACACCAGCCTGATATACAGCTGAAGCATTCCGGAATGCTCAGCACTGTTGTTCCTAAGCTTCTTGTTCTTACATGCTCAATGTCCACTTTACTTTCGATATTAAAATCGATACCCAAAGTACCCTATTCCTGAAGTTTCATCTCCAAGAATACTTTCACAATCCGAGTCTATACCTCGTTACTTCGACCTGAAGTTTCCACACTTGGCCAGCATTACGACCAACTCCATCAGAGATCGAGTGTCACGTAACTGCGGTATCATAGTCTCCACATGAGCGCGAAATCCCCACGCGAAGTATTAAAAGCAAGCAGAAGCACCGATCACAGTGCAACCCTAAATCAAATATTTTTAATACCACTTTTAACGCGACCCCTGCGATTGAATCATATATCACGAGATATATATAAGTCGTCCGAGATTATTTAAATTTATACTACTGTAGAATCGCACGTTTCCCACGCTACGTGTACTGTGCGTGCGAGAAAAGAAGGCACAGTGCATTTACATCCTCACGACTGATTAACTGTGCTGAATCTCTCTTGACCACAGAAAACGGTGACCGATGATCTCAGTCACCATTTTCGGCCAATAGAGGACACTGCTTGCCACGATGGCAGTGTCAGTGGAGTTACCGCGCTATGGAAAACGCACTATACCTGCAGCTTTGCGTAGCTTTACCGAGACAACGAGGTTCCAAGGTGCAAAGTCCAGGTCAGCCAGGAAAATCTTGGATGACATGTCAGACGTCATAGGCGATCGTGTGCATGGGGGAAAGAAATATAAAGTAAGCCAGGACTGGTTAGAGGTTAGGACTTCAATCGAATTGAAGTCGAAGATAGTTGTCATTGAGTCGAGTTGTAAAATTAAGACTAGAATTCGAACAAAGTTGTAATATTGTATGGATGACACGTCAGGCCCTTAGCGTAACCATAGCACGACCATGAAAGGGTGTGCACAGGGGAAAAGAAATATAAAATAATCCAGGATCGTTAATATCGAGTCAAAGTAGAAGACAGTTGACATTGAGTCGAGTTGTAAAGTCAAGAGTCGAAGCCGAAGTTATAATATTGTAATTATTATTATTATTGCAATAATACCGTAATTTAGTTTGGCTATGCACTTGGAGACCCTACGACTGTTCAGCCAGAAGCACAGTTGAACTGGTGCAATATCTAGCGATATGCCATTCAAGGGCAGACATTTAGTCAATAAAATAAACAATGATCCAAGGATAGATGTACTGCGACACTGGAAGGCTCATAGTTTGGATACGATTATTAAATGTTATAATATCTAAAATATAACATCTCGCTTGTCACAGTCAGAATAGCTACACTTCCGCCATTACGTTTTATTTCAATCGCCAAAAACGCACCAGATGTCGCTAGAAGCATCTAGTAACATGAAGCTGGAGATTAGAATTTTCCAAAAAATTTTGTACACAACTACGCTCATCTTTTCAACGCTATATTCTCAATAATTGCGCAAAGACAGGTATACCTGAGATCTGGTAGTGCCAAACCTGGTCATCTCGTCCATTTCTTTCTCCAAACGAATCTAAACGTGGAACCAGACAAGGAGTAAACGAAGAAACAGCCTGATCGAGACAAATCATTGGAGGAATCCTGTAATTAGTAATCAGTGATCACCGGGTGCTTGAGTTCGTGTTCCTCTGGATGGACGCCCACGCGGGTGCTCGGCTTGCGAAATGTGGCATCGCTTGGCTTATAAATTCCAAGTTGCCCAACTCGTTCCAGCCGGTAGCTAATTGCAGTTGACGCGTAGAAAGCGCACGATAAAGGAAGCTAATCTCTGCCGCGAGCTGCATCAATAAAACCAGCAGTTACATAAGTCACCGCGTATGGCTATGAATAATATATTAGCAGAGGCGAATTTAGCGATCCAAAGAAATCGGTGCCGTTTCCGCCTGGCGGAGGAGGAGACGGATAAGGAAGATCGGGTCGCTTTCGGTTGTTAATGTGATAATAATAAGAGCAAGTGAAAGCGAGTAATTGCAGAGCGAGTCTAGCGTCTGATTCGGTCTTAGCACGCGTTCTTTCGCACAATTATATTGTCTGCATGCTAGACAGATATGCGAATTTTAAGCTACGAGTCTACTAATTGGACTGTTGGGATGTTTGGTATGCTGGCTAGGAAATTGCAGATGCAGCAAGAAAAGATGGAAAGGTGTAGATAAGTAGCGAGGCATAAATGGAAGTATAAGAATGGAAGAATGGAAATGGAGTGGATAAACTAGTAAAGGAATCAAGGAACAGTGGATTAAAGATGGAAACTGTTGAGGGGTTGTATTGGAAAGAACGTGTCCACGGAATATATGGACCGTTTTTAAATTTTGAAAATTTAGGAAAAAAAGAAAATTAGATATCACGTAATTTGTACTTAATTTAACCATCCATTTAAAACAAATTTTGTTCAAAAGTAGGCTAAACATATATTATTAATTTTTGAAATACCGATATTATTACTCGTATTAGAAAATAGTATATTGCTGACCCCCAACCTAGCATAAAACACTATAGTATATTGATCACTATACTTGGCCACTATAGACACCAAGTACGTGGAGTATGAGGCAATAATTCAGTTCGTTTTTTCCAAAAAATCTCTATCCTTGATTAGGGTTGTTTTCAACCACTACTCTTGCACCTCAAATTCGGAAACTCCATTAGGAAAAATAACACCATCCAATAGCAGAATGCACAGCTCTTCCAAGAGTCGTTATAAATAATGGACCTAGTAGTACACAGTGAAAAAGAAAAACACGCAGTATCAGGATAACTATCACAGTCCAATTACTATTCGAAGCCAAACATAATTTTCTCAAAGGGCTGGCTAGTCACTAATCATTACCAATCAAGAACGACCTAGTGACGATATACATATGTGGGAGTCCTCCTCCATGATTGCTGTAGTCAGTTGGTTGGCAGACATGTCCTCTGATGTGGTGGTGGTGCCTGTAGAGACGAAAGGAAAAGGAAGGGATGCATTTGGTTCCAGGCTTGTTAGTGGACTCATCGGTAAGGCTATTTAGCAGACCCTGCCTTAGGGTCTGCACTATTGGAAAGTTTGGATATTCTATATATAGGGAAACTAGGATTTACTGAGGACTTGCTAGAAAATCCCTAAACCTTCAACTTGGAATCCACCTAATTGCGAGGGTAGGAATGATACCATCACACATATATGAACTTTATCCTATCCAAACTTTCCACTGTACATGACATTACATGGACCTAGTCACAGACCATCCTGCATATTATTCTTAATATTCTGCAATATTTCCACTAATGACAACGATCAAAGATTGGATGTAAACGGTCTCCAAAAGTTAGACGTAGTTATCCTGTCCAAATTCAATTTTACATACCGTTACATGGGACCTAGTTACAGGGTACATGCTCTGTATCATTCTCATCCCACTTGCAAGTACCAATGACAAAACGCTTGTAAGTATACCTAACAAGACACTCGCATCCCTACCTATCGCTGTCATCATCAACAAATGTCTCTTCTCTTCTTCGTGGCCTTCTCATGTCCCATGATCTCCGCTCGTTTCACGTTCGTTCGCCTACTTTCGACCCGGGTCGCCTAATTGCCGCTTAAATTCACGTTACACGATGTCAATTACGATTTCATGGGGAACGACTCGACGACGTACAGTGGCATGCACCGAACGGAATTCCGCGCTACCGGCGTCCGTGGAACATCTCTCGTAATAAGGGACAGGGCCGAGGAGAGAGAGAGAGAGAGAGAGAGGGAGAAAAAAAATCATTAACTAATCATTAACTGTAACCGTTTACCAGTCGCGACGGAGAGATTCAAAGAGGGGCCGACGCGGTGACGAGGCATCGGGGCGACCGGTGACCAACCGCTAATGACGATGACTTTTTGCCCACGTATTTTTTTCCTGCCCGCCGGTCACTTTTCACCGCAGCTCCGAGCCAGCGACGCGATCTCTAATTACGGTTATTACTAAAATATTTCGCCGGTCGACGACGATCGTCGCTTCCGTATTTTTATCCTTTTTCTTCTTTTCACCTTTCCTTCTTTTTCCACTTTTATTACGCGCCGATCACACGTCACCAACCTCCATGCCATATTCCCTTCTAGGGGAAAGAACAGTCGCGATCGTGGCGACAGTAGCGACGCGGCGATGGTGGCGACGGTGGCGACGGTGGCGACACCTAGTCTATTTTTCGCGTGTAATGGCGGACGTCCGAACAAATTGAGAATAGCATGGCATTTGGTTTTATCATTGTTTGGTACATATAGATCTCTTGATTTACAAGATGAATTAATGTCGTGAAATTATATATATATTTTGCGGTGTGTTATATGTGTTAGTATATGTGTATGTTCATACATGTTTATATACAATATTATACTATTATTTTTATTGTTACATGTAGATATTCTCTCCACTATAGTAACAAAAGATTTTTAGATGCTTCTACCTTCTCAATATTTTCAATGATCAATATTCGATGACCAAATTAGATAATCAGGAATATAAACGTATATAAACAATAGACAATTGATATTTATTCATGTTTATATCGAATATTATACTATTATTATTGCATATTATTGCATATATATTGTCTTCACTATAGTAGGAAAAGATTTCTCGATACTTATATTCTCTCAATATCTTCAATTGCCAACATTCGATGACCAAATTAAATAAAGAAGA